TTAGAGTCCCTGGCTTCTCAGACTCTTACTATCCCCTTTCTGGTCCCCACCCTCCAGCAGCTTGAACCCTACACCCTTCTCTAGGTGTCTTTCCCTACCAGCATCTTCTGTCTGAAATTCATCTCCCCTCCCTACACTTAGTCACTTTACTCTGCTGGTTCATTCCTTCTCCCTTTTCACTAGTTAAAGTAACATCTCTTCCTCTTCTTCATAGCTCCTTTGGCCCTGTCATCTAGGTCCATATTGCCTCCTAGAACATCTCACAGCATCCGGGCAGTAACCTTGATCCCAGCACTGATGACATCATGTAACATGCTTCTCCAAAGTGAGGATATGGTGATTATCTAGTCTTTGGCCTGACACAGTACCTGATTCTCAACGTGTTGCAGAAATAAACATATTTTTATAGATTAAAGGGTAAAAGGTTTCTTTTTTAAGTGTTTCTTGGTGCAGGAGTTGGGGGGTGGTGTCTCAGGATTTCATTTTACTTAGATCCACAATCAACACCCATAGAAGCAGCAGTCAAGGAATCAGATGCTGTATTGCATTGGGCACATTTGCTGCAAAAGACCTCTTTAGAGTGTTAAAAGGTAAAAATATCACCTTGAGGACTAAGGTACATCCTACTCAAGCCATGTTATTTTCAGTCACCTCACATGCATGTGAAAGCTGGACAATGAATAAGGAAAACTGAAAAAAAAAATCAATGCTTTTGAATTATGGTATTGGTAAAGAGTATTGAATATACCATGGATTGCCAGAAAACAAATTGGAGAAGTACAGCCAAGATGCACCTTAGAAGTGAGGATGGTGAGGCCTTGTGACATGTCATCAGGAGGAACCAGTCCCTGGAGACGGAATCATGCCTGGAAAACAGAGGAACAGTGAAAAAGAGAAGACCTCCACAAGATGGATGGACATAGTGGCTGCAACAAGGGCTTGAGCATGGCAACGACTGTAAGGATGACGAGACTGGGCCACGTTTCATTCTGTTGTGCACAGGGTTGCTACGGGTCAGAGCTGACTCAGTGGCCCCTAACAACAACAACAGCAGCTTTCTTAGACTTCCTTGCAGTACTTGTCACCAGCTTGCTCCTGCACTTGGTCACGAGAAGATGGCTGCCATCCAGGAGCCAGGGACTGCCAGCTAAGACCTGGACAAGTCTGCCAAGGTTATCAAATATAAAGTGGAAAATCTCGTGTCATCTTTGCAGACAGTGGGAGTCAAAACTGACGGCCTCCCTGAGCATTTTTGTCTGTGCATCCAACAGAAGCAGCAGCAAAAATCAAGAGCACGTGACCACAGCTGAGAATTTGGCCATTGCAGCAGGTGGACAGGAGTGACAGAGTGGAAGCAGTTACCTGGAGGGTCAATATTTCAGCTTGTTTGTGGAGAAATAATTGCAAAGGAAGCCAGTCAGAAAGGAGATTGGTGGTACCCTACTTCTCACCCTCCCCACAATCCCTTGACACTTTGGCTGGCTTCAGATTGATGAAATTTTTTCAATCTTGACAGAAATGACAATGCTGAGAGGAAAAAAAAATACATGTTTTCAGAATGTGATGGAAGATTAAAACAACATCAAGAAGAGAAACCTTTTCCTCTATAAGGACTTAAACCATTGTCATACACAAAATACGGTGATTTAATATCTTTGTCTCAGGAGCCTAATTTTTCTCCTCTGATTTTTAGAGTTATTTCGAGAATTGCATAGACTGTTTCAAAAAACACGGCTTAGTCTAAAGTGTCAGAATACAATCAGCTTTCTAAGCGAAAGCGAAGGAGAAAGGAGAGGGGCTCATACTGAGAGATGAGAAAGTCACTCCCTCCAAATGCCAACGGTGATAGGAAATAAGGTGAGTTTAAAAGGCAAAACCAAGACAAGATAATGCGAGAGCTGTCGTGCCTTTTAGAAAAACACCGCTAATGAGTTTTGGAAAGTTTGTTGTTGTTGTTGTTATTTGCCATCAAGTTGGCCCCGACTCATAGCGACCCCTCCTTGGGTTTCCGAGACAGTATCACTACGGAAGTAGGATTGCCCAGCCTTCCTTCCGAGGAGTGGCTGGTGGGTTTGAACCGCCAGCCTTCTGGTTAGCAGTCCAGTGCCTTAGGCACTATGCTACCAGAGCTCCAACACATATTTAATTATTGAGTTCCTGATGTTAATTTAATTAAAACAATTCCTACATGTAGTGCATTTGTGTTTCCAAATTAAGAAAAGTAGACTGATGAAGCTCGAATGATTAGAATGGTAGGTTAGATTTAGAAAGTAAATCTGAACAGAAATGATTCCTTTTCATGGAAAACAGCATTCAACTTTAAATTTGGTTGTTCTACTATTAAGGAGTCGGGGCCGACTCGACGGCACATAACAACAACAACAACAACAACTATTAAGGAAGTTCACATGTATTAGATGAAAGTTAAGGTAAGCCTGGATGGTGCAGCAGTTCAGGACTTGTCTGCAAACCAAATCATTGACAGTTTGAAACCACCCAGAAGCTCAAGGGAGGAAGACTGGTGATCTGCTTCCATAAAGATTACAGCCTAGAAAACCGTACGGGGCAGTTCCACTCTGTCAGACGGGGTCGCTATGAGTTAAAGTCAACAACTATAACAACATAGTTATTAATCAAAAAAGTTTCTTTTTTAATGTTTAAAAAATAAAGCCACACTGTTCTCTGAAGTGATGATTTGCCTAGTATAAGAAGAATTATGTTTAGAAAAATATGCTTGTCCATATCTTTTTAGGAGCACGGTTACCAGAAGAGCAAGTGGTTCTAAAATGATGTTTAGGGATTATTAGAATATTATGGGCAGAATTTAGAGTTTAAAGACATTTTTGCTGAAGATTGTTCAGTTTACGATTCAACAGCCTACCACAGAACTCACCAAACTCACCGCTGTCAAGGTGGTATCAGTATAGAAGTAGATTGCCCAGTGTTCCTTCCGAGGAGTGGGTTTGAACCACCAGCCTTCTGGTTAGCCATCAAATATTTTAGGCACTACGCCACCAGAGCTCCCTCTGGTAACTCTGTGTCCTCATTTAGAGGCATCATTATTCTTAAGAGGAAAAGCCAGGTCAGGCCTTCTGGCCCAGACGGGCGGTGCAGCTCTGTGGCTCACAACAGACCGTCTTAGCTCTGGGGTTCGGATCTTCACTCAGCCGCTTTGTAGCTGTGAGACGCTGGGCAAGTTACTTAGCTTTTCTGTGCCTCAGTTTCCTCATCAGTCATTAGGGGTAATGGTCTCTTGTTGGGGGAACCCTGCTGTACCTGGTTAAGCTCTTGGCCGCTAACTGAAAACTTGGCTGTTTGAACCCACCAGCAGCTTTGTGGGACAAAAGACCTGATGAACTGCTTCTGGAAAGATTATAGTCTCGGATCCCTCTGGGGCAATTCTACTCTGCCCTGCAGGGTTGCACGGGAGGGAATTGACTTCAGGCACTCAGTAACAAGAAGTCTATTTCATTGCTTTACTGGAGGATTAAATCATATAAAGTTTCAGAACACTTTCTGCCTTATGCGTTGTAGATTCTCAATAAACAGAAAAAATGAAACTCACTGCCATTGAGTTGATTGTGACTTATAGTGACCCTCATTGGGCTTCCAAGGCTGTGATGGAAGTGGACTGCCTCATCTTTCTTCCACAGAGCAGCTCATGGGTTCAAACCATTGACCTTTTGGTAAGCAGCGAAATACCTTAACCACTATACTACCAGAGCTCTTTTAGATATTAAATCAAAAAACCAAACTCACTGCCATCTAGTTGATTCCAACTCATAGCAACCCCCATTGAGTTTCTGAGGCTGTAAGTCTTTACGGAAGTAGATCATCCCATCCTCCTACCATGGGGCCGCTGGTGGGTTTGAACCTCTGACCTTCTGGATAAGGCACCCAAGTGCCTTATCCACTATTATTATTGTTGTTGATATTATTGTGACATTGGAAAGCTCTCTTTTTCTAAAGAATTTACATGACTAAAGCGCTTGGTTTAGAAACCAAAAACATAATTTCTCCACATCTTTTTAGTCCATTAGGATTTTGATCTGGTTGCGCAACAGCGAAGCCCTCAGCTGCTACTGAAAGGTTAGCAGTCGGTACCCACCCAGCAACTCCACAGGAGCAGACCTGGCAATCTGCTTCCGGAAAGATTACAGCCAAGAAAACCCTGTGGGTCAGCTCTATTCCGTCACCTATGGTCACTCTGAGTCAAAAACTGACTCAAGTGCACCTAACAACACTAACAAGACTTTGCAACAGAGTAAATAATTGCCAGTGAGCAGTCAGAATTCTTTGGCTAAATATCTTCTCTTCATTGCCCTGGCATAAAACATTCAAACCCAAAATAAAAATAAAGACAAAGGAGAGGGAGAAAAACTGGCAAGGGGACAAGTTTGAGAAAGTGCAAGGGCAATTGTTTTAATGGAGTCATTGTATTCAGGTGACCTGGCTGGCTACTGTAAACACTAGGCAATGTAAGAAGGAAATCAGAGCCCATTGTGGGTCAATAAAATGGATGTCTTTTCAACTAAACAGATTGTTATCAGTTTCACAGAGCCGACTCATGTTCCTTTTTGTCTGGCCATTTCCTTTGCTGAGTGTCTGTAAGAACCACCCACTTGAGTGTTTCTCAGGCTTATAGGTTTTTAGGTCAACAGAAACCCCGGGGAACGCCTGGAAAAGGCAAACACAGGCAGTTGCACTGTGCAGAAGCTGGATGACATCAGTGGGACTGCTGTCTGTGCAGTGGGGGCTGCTGCTGTGTCCCGAGCGTGCAGGACCCTGCTCTCCTCCGTCCACGCTGTCCGCCAGCAGGAGCACAGGTCAGTCTGGGAAAGGCGTTGCTCTTACGTAACTGGTGCAGCTGAAGGCTTTCGGCTGGGCTGAAGGCTCTGTGGGATGAACAGTCAGCCATGTCCACTCCTCGGTTGATTTCAGAGGCTCGACCAGTGGGCATTAAATGCTTTCTTTGTTTGTCATCCTCAGGCAAGTCCTCAATGGATGAGAGACAGGAGTCACTGGCCATGACGGTCCATCTCCTTGCCAACTCTGGGCATGGCTCGCTTGTTCAGCGAACTCTGGACCAGCTCCTGGATAACATTTGCCCAGAGGTCCGCCTCTTTTTGGTGTCAGAGCGGGTCAGCCCCATGAAATCCTATGAGAAGTACCACCCCAAGCGCTCCCGGTTCCCAGGGATGTCCGTTTTGCTCTTCCTGCGTGAAAGCCTCGGAGAGGAGCGGATATTTCGCGTTCTCAACTCCCTCCAGCATTCGCCTTGGCAGTACTACCCCACCCAGAGTGCCCAGCGAAGACTCTGTCCTTCCCTTCTTGCCAACCAGGAGTTCTACAGTCTGGACAACCAGATGCCCATCTGGGGAGTGAGGCAGGTGCACTGTGGCACCGAGATCCTGCGGGTGACGCTGTACTGCAGTTTTGACAACTATGAGGATGCCATCCGACTCTATGAGATGATCTTGCAGAAAGAGGCCACTCTGCAAAAGAGCAGCTTCTGTTTCTTTGTGCTGCACTCCACCGCGAGCTTTGCTCTGCAGCTCTCCCTGAAGCAGCTGCCCCTCGGGATGTCAGTGGACCCCAAAGAATCCTCAGTGCTGCAGTTCAAGGTTCAAGAGATCGGCCAGCTGGTGCCTCTCCTGCCCAATCCATGCATCCCCATCAGCAGCACCAGGTGGCAAACTCAGGACTACGACGGCAACAAGATTCTGCTGCAGGTATTTCTGCTTTGCCTCTGCGCGTCTGGCAAAGCACGCGGAACTGCGCAGTTTTCCATCTGAGATGTCAATTGAGAGTTGATTTAATCTAGTGGGTCTCAGCCTTGGTTACACATTACAATCCTCGGGGGAGCTTTCAAGATTTCCCATATCATGCCTGCACCCAGGCCACTTAAATCAGAATATCTGGGGGTGACTCAAGCGTGGTTATTTATGCAAAACTCCTTGGATGACTTGAATAAGTAGTGGGGTTCAGAGTCCTGATATACAAAACTCCGCCTCATCTAACAGATAAGGAAATTCAAACTTGGGGGGCCTTGTGGCTTACAAACAAGGCATTTGTCATTGTATTTGTATCAGACAGTGCTTTTTCTCAGATTTTCCTTTTACTATTCTGACCAGATTGAGTCAGAGCAGAGCAGTTGCTGTGGAGTTGACCCACAGGGTTTTTTAGTGGTTGGCATTTTGGAAACAGATCACTAGACCTTTCTTCTGAGGTGTTTCTGAGTGGACTTAAACCCTGAAACGGGTAAAGTATTTGGATAGAGTTGAAAGGTTGGAGGTTCAAGAACATGATAAGCTCTTTCCATCTGACTCAAAAAATAAATAAATAAATAAATAAATAAATCCAAAACCAAACTCACTGCTGTTGAGTCAGATCTGACTCACGGTGACCCCTCCTTGGATTTCCAAGGTGGTATCACTACAGAAGTAGATTGCCCAACCTTCCTTCCGAGGAATGGTAGGTTTGAACCGCCAGCCTTTTGGTTAGCAGTCAAATGCTTTAGGCACTACGCCATCAGAGCTCCCATCTGACCCAAGGAAGTTGAATTTGTAATTTAGTTTGGGAATGTTAAATTGTAGCTCTGTTGACTTAATGTTTAAGCATCTTGTATCACTATGAAATTTTTGCCCCAAATTAAGTTAGATAATTAAATCTCCTTCAAAAGAGGATCTTAAAATTAAAGACTTCGTTTGTAACCATCCTATCAAAATGGAACAAGCAAGTGTATGTATAATCAAGATTTCATGTCTTACAGTATATCAGTGGCAGTTGAGCCTTGCCAGTTAGAAGCTGTGTGACCTTGGGCCTCCATTTCTTCATTGGCACAACAGGTGTCATAAGAGTATCTTCATATAGGGTTGTTACTGACAGTAAATGACTTGATTCTTAAAAAGTGGTTAGCAGAGTGTCTAGAACTCAATTTTAGCCATTCTAGTTCATATTGTGTCCTAAGTATTTTGGAGTCCCTGGGTGTGCAAATATTAAGTGCTCGACTACTAGTCAGAAGGTTGGTGGTGCAAAGCCACCCAGAGCAGCCTGAGAAGAAAGGCCTAGTAATCTGCTTCTGCAGGATCACAGCCTTGGAAACCCCTGGGGCTGTCTGCTCTGCACACGTGGGGTCATCATGAGTCAGAATCGACGTGATGGCAACTAACAATGACAATAATAACCAAATATTTAGCATTGATTATTTGATCTTTATAACAACCTAAGAAGTCCCTGTTTTGTAGATAAGAAAACTGAAGCATAGAGCTTCAGTAAGCTACCCAGCAAATAGCTACAAGTGTCTATCAGGCTCCAACACCCAGTGTATGCACTGCCCTCCACTGTTCCGTGGGTGTGAGTGTGTGTGCACATGTGTGCAGAAAGGGAGATGCCCGTGAAGTCCTCACCCTGTACCTGTTGCTTCTGTGCTTAAAGAACTCTCTGACGCTGCTCTAAGGCATGTTGTATAAAGTAGTAACAGGCTCTGAGATGAGTTGTCAAGTCCCTTTGATTCAGTTTGTTGTCATCAGCTTTGACTTCTAGGTAAAATAAAATATGAATCATGTTGATTCCATATTAAATGATTTACCTTCTTGGACACACAAGGTACTCAGGCACCGTTTCTGTCAGTTGCCTGTTATATGACTCACAAATATCCAAGGATCTAAAATTTCTTTTTCCCCTTCATCAGAATTTAAAATCAATGTCATTATCAAACAAAAATTAATATATGTATGCAGCAGAGCACATTCCAAATCATCTTATTGTAAAGGCTAACTGACTAACTGATAGTTTTTACTTCTGAAGCAGAGCAACTGACTGGTAGCTGCTTTGGAAAGTTGAATAAAATTTGGGGTGGGCAGAATAGCTTTTTTTGGTAAAGGAAAACTCCATGAGGAATAGAAATATGGCCCTGTTCCTTTCTGATTTTCTAGGAGTCTGGCCACCTCTCAGGATTTCTATGGGTGCAGCGTATCTAGTCCCTGTTTCTCATATACCTCCCTGACCAAAACCAAACTCACTGCCATCAAGTCACTTTGACTGCTAGCGACACCTCCTTAGGTTTCTGAGACAGTATCTCTGCAGAAGTAGATTGCCCAGTCTTCTTTCTGAGGTGTGGCTGGTGGGTTTGAACCACCAGCCTTCTGGTTAGCAGTCAAATGCCTTAGGCACAATGCCACCAGAGCTTCATACCTCCCTGAAGCCACCACCTTTTCCCAGTATCTTGGAAAACTCTCCAAACTGTGAGTGCTTCCGCCCTCCGCACTCCAAAATGCTGGCCTTGTTCCCTTCCCCACCAGTCAGTCAAGGCTTTTGCAAACAAAATGGGGATTGTCTTCCAGAACCTTGTTCTTCTGTCCCCTTATTATAAAAGCCCCTGAGGAAAGCATATAAAAACTTCAGGACCTTTTTCAAAAGGTCCCTGGGTGGCACAGACGGTTCACAATGGGCTGTTAACCTGAAGGTTGGCAATTTGTACCCCATAACAGCTCTGCAGAAGAAAGCCCTAGCAATCCCCTTCCGTAAAGAGGAAGCCAAGAGAGTGCTAGGGGACAGTTCTGCTCTGCGACACATGGGATCACCGTGAGACCGAGCCAACCTGACAGCAGTGGGGGTGGGCCTTCTGAGAATACAGTGAGTTTTTCAGGATGGAAAACCCAGCATGAGCTTACTTGCGTGAGGTAGAGAAGAGGCAGGTGGCCAGCCCTTTACTCGCTTCCAAAAGCCAATGATTCACCACCTCCCTTCTCCCTACCTTCTAAAAAGCCCCGGGGGTACAATGATGAAGTATTTGGCTGCTAACCGAAAGGTCAGCAGGTGAAACCAATCCAGTCATCCACGGGAGAAAGACTTGGTGATCTAGTTCTGTAAAACCCAGGGCAGTTCTCCTCTTCCGTGAACCACAATACACTCCATGGCACACAAGAGTCCTGGTCTGGACAGACAATGTGCTGGGGAGCCCGTTCTTAGCTCTGCCGCTTCTGACTTGGCCTTGTCCTCACACAGATTTCCTCTTGTGGCCACAAGCTGGCTGCACTTCCTTACATAGGCTCAGAGTCCCTCATCCCACTATGGTCCAGCACAATTTCTGGGCCTCACTCCAATTGGCCCAACGTGGTCAGATTTTCCTCTCTGAAGCAATGACTGCTTGCAGGGGAATGGGATTCTGTGGGTTAGCTTAGTCATGTGGCAAAGGCCCTGCTCCCTGCCCTACATTCTGCCTGGAGTCAGACTCCTGAAGTCTCTGCAACTCAGGGAAAAGGGTGAGTGTTCCCCCATGAAGATTAGTGTTGGGGAACAAATGCTGGCCAGCCCTGTTATTGCTTGGGTACAACTCTGCTTTGATGAGGCAGCTTCCCAGTCATATTTTGAGTGCCTTCCAACCTGGGGGGCTCACCTGCTGGCACTACATCAGACAATGTTCTGTTGCTATTCATAAGGTTTTTCAGTGGTCATTTCTTTCAGAAGTGGACCTGGCCACATCCTTCTTCCTAGTCTGTCTTAGTCTGGAAGCTCCACTGAAACCTGTCCACCATGGGTGACCCTGCTGGTACTGGAAATACAGGTGGCAGAGCCTCCACAATCACCACAACATGCAAGCCACTAGACTACAACAAAGTGACAGATGAGTAGTGGGCAAATACACTGAAAAAGGCCTCTTTAAAGTGTTAAAGAACAAAGACTTTGAAGACTAAGTTGTGCTTGGCCCAAGCCATAGTATTTTTAATAGCCTCATATGCGTGTGGGAGCTTTGGTGGTGTAGTGCCTAAGGCATTTGACTGCTAACCAGAAGGGTGGAGGTTCAAACCCACCAGCCACTCCTCAGAGGGAAGATTGGGCTGGAGATATCACCTTGGAAATCCATGGAGGGGTCACTATGGGTCCGGATCAACTCAATTTGATGGCAGTGAGTTTTTTTGTTGTTGTTGTTTTTGTTTCATATGCATGTGAGATCTGGACAATGAATAAGACTGCTAACAGAAGGCTGGCGGTTCAAACCCACCAGGCATTCCTCAGAAAGAAGACTGGGCAATCTACTTCTGTAGAGATACCACTTCAGAAATCCAAGGAGGGGTCATTATGACTCTTATCAGCTTGACGGCAATGAGTTTCTTTCTTTCTTTTTTTTTTTTAAGAAGAGTTGATACACTTGAATTATGGTGTTGTTATAGAATATTGAATGTTCCATGGACTGCCAGAAGAACAAATGAATCTGTCTTAGAGAGGGTACAGCCAGAATGCTTCTTAGAAGCGACAATGGCCAGACTTTGTGTCTCCTACTTTTGTCATGTTGTCAAAGGGACCAATCCCTGGAGAAGGATATCTATCATGTGTGATAAAGGGTCAGAGAAAAAGTGGAAGGCCCTTGATGAGACGGATGGACACAGTGGCTGTGGATAGGCTCAAGCATGGCAATGGTTCTGAGGACGGCGCGGGACGGGCATTGTTTCCTTCTGTTGTCCATAGGATTTCTACAGGTTGAAACCAACTCCATGGCACCTAACAACAACATAGATGTGAACGTGACCCTGTTTGGAAAGAGGCCTTTCTTTTGTTATGCTAATGAGGCCATACCAATGTAGAGTAGATCCTAAACTTAATCTCTTCTGAGTCATAAAAAGCTCAGAGCAGACACAAAAACACACACAGTACAAGAACAGACAGCATGTGAGGAGCAAAGAAATGCCACGGATCACTGGCAGACACCAGAAACTCAGAGAAGCTCATA